CTACCTGAATATGTTACAGAACTCTGTAAGGAACACATTTTAATCTGAGATTGGCATGTGCAAAGACTTTTGAGCTTTTCTCCCATAACAGTGAACTGTTTCATTGTATTGAGTGATTGCAACTACTTTATACATTTTGAAATGATTTGGCCTACTTTGTATAGGCTGCTTTAATCGATGTCAGTTACATTGTCTACAGCACAGCATCTTCTCCACACAGGAAATCCAAAACCCCTTTTTGGTTTGTAGTTTGTTAGATGTCAAAGACAGAGCAGGGCTACAAAGGCTAAAATAACCATGTAAAATCAAGTCAATCAAGTGTATCACCTTCAAACATTGACAAACCAAAGTTTGTTTTCAGGACAAACAGTGTTCATGTAACTCCACATGGAATAATCCCAGAGGTTGTTGGAAAGCTGCTTTAATGTGGTATGTTCCAACCACCCCCCACCTCTGCAAATCACTACTTTGCTACTCCAGTCTCACCCCCAACTTGTGGCCTCAGGTCTGTGAGTGGCAGTTTCCAGGTCTCTCTCTTCCCCCCCGCCAGCCAAAGTCCCTCACCCACTTCTCCAACACAGCATGTTTTAGTCGGACCCAATCCCTCCCCCGGTAGCCTTGACTCAGGCCTATTGCTCTCTCTCATCTGCTCGGGCTGAATAGTGACTGTTGATTGGTGGTTGAGATGGAGAAGGAAGCCTTGGGAGTATTTATAGAGACTCTCATTTACCAGAACAATAACAACCCTCCCCCACAGCGAGAGGGTGAGCGAGGCAAACTGACTTTTGGTTTCACATCTCCGGGGACATTAAGGACACACTTTGTTGAATAAGGTGTATGTCCATTCATGTTGATGCTTTGTTGCAATGATTAGAGTATAGATGGAAATTCAGAGTTTAGATGATTGTGTTTATTTATACGACTCCTGTGAGGGCTACAACTGAAAAGGCTTATAGGTATAGATCACCACAAGTAGAAGCAACAGCATTAAGTAGTTTAAAGTATTTATATTTCCGGAGCCGAAGTGTATAATGTCCTGAAACAATTCATCAGTTAATTTCAAAGCATTAAAACATCGCACTGAGAATCCCTTTATCTGAAAGAAGCTAACACAAAGTATATCAGGAAAGTTAATACCAGGGATGCAATTAAAATCAATTTATTCTAAAGGATGTGGCACACTCCTGTGTATGGCTCCACCTCATCTGTATCCACCATAAGGCACTATACATTACTGACTTTGGCAGTTACTACTGGCAGAGACAGTGTTGGCAGGATTAGTTGGGTTTCAAGGATTGAACCGGTATTAGATCAGTGACAATTAGTTGATGGTGACAGAGATTAAAGATGACTTGGGTGATGAGTTAAGTGTTCACTGGTACATGATTACTGAGGTTCAAAGACGGAAAGGTAAATGTCCATCTCCGCCTGCAGAAAATAGAAAGTGGTATCAGCTGACAGAGGTAGTTAGTTCGGCCATTGGCCTGCATTCAAACCTAGCAGTAAGATTTAAAAGAAGACAAAGCAAGAATCCTTTATATTGTAGTTGATGTTGTTAAGATATTTAACCTGGAAACCAAACAAATCTGCAGGCTTGTATTTTGCTTGCTGTGCTTTTGGCTTGTCCCCAATCCATTCAGATGACCTGATTCAGCCCTTTATCTAATTTAGGACAGGTTTTTTTTAAAAAGGGTAATGACTTGGGGAAAAGGAGCCACAGGTCGGACTAGAACCTGCTGGAAGGTACTAGAACCTCTGTAAATTGGGTTTGACCTAACCGATAATCAAACCAGCATCCCAAATTTAAGGCAGGTTTTTTTTTTTGTACTTTATTTTTCCAAAAGTAAAGCACCAAAAAAAAAAGACATACGTAAAGCATATTATAAAAACAAAAACAAAACAATCAAACAAACCAGTAACATCAAAACACCAGTCCAAATTCATATGTCATGGGTATGTAAACCATCCCACTTAAAAAATAATAACACTAGTATGTAAATAAGCAACAACAAATAAACAAACAAACACACAAGACAAAACAAAAACCCTGCTGCCCATGGTTCAACCCTCACACATGCACAAAACTCCATCCAAATTTTCTAATACAACTTTGCCCAGAATTCTTCATGTCTTCCTCGACTAAAAATTGCATGGGAAGTCAGGATGAACAGATGTGAGAACGCAGCAGGAAAATTCAGTGCTATCGAGTGAGAGGGGCTTATAACATTTATATCCTGTGACGGTCGTGCGATGGCGTGCCACTGGTACGATCCCGGTACCCGTTATGAAGCAGTTTCATGATGTTTTCTGATTGACAGTATGTTCTCCTCTGCTCATTAGTATGTTGTGAATATGTTGATCTACAGTTAGTCTTTATCTGAAGGGAAAAGTTGTCAGCTAACATTGGACTGTGTTCCTTTGTCCGCCATTTTTGAATTGTTCTGTTCATGTCCTGCATCATGGGACCCTTTACAGGAAGCTAGTTTGAGCTAGCTACCTAGCCTAGCAGCTGACTACTACGTCAAACATATCACTTGTCTAATTGGCTATAGACCAGGGGCTGTTTGGTCCACACATGCCTGCTTGTAGTAAAAAAAATATAAGGATATAGGTTACAGACTTCATCACATTTATAAATGGGTAGAGCAAGGCCAATCTACAAGATAATAGGGGTACATTTATAGCCCTTAGAAATTAATTGGTAGAAACTATTCTTCTGTCTGCTGGACTGTGAGCATATGGTCTGATTTCTAACAACAGATAGATGAAGGTAGATTGTTTCAAATGTTGAGATACTGATTTGAGTCTCTTTTCTAACAGACATACCAAAGGAGTTAGTTGGCTGCCAGTTGGAATATCTTGTTCTATCCAGGAAGATCAAGTTATTTTTCTACCAACTTGCAGGCCCAAAACAAAAAGACGAATGCATTCACTAGCAGCCGACTCTTCTGTTCAGAACATCCACCTTCTAGTCCTTTTTCTCTCCAGGAGGACTCATGGAACCTGTAGAGAAGCATCTGAACATTTGCCACAAGATCTCCAAAGACTCTGTTCGCTCCCTTCATTTGCAAAATAGTGGATTCAAATCACATGTTCTGTGGTCTTTATGGTCAACTTCCAACAACTTGGATGTTGTAAGGCTGCAAACAGAGCACCAGTAGGGTATGCAGACTTAATACATAGTCCTCTGACAAAGCAGTTATCAGCTATGTGTTGTCTGCCACCTCAAAAGTAGAGTCAACAAGGAATGCTGAGGCCTTTTACCAAGGGAGCTCAAACTGATTTGCAGAGAGAACATGAGCATGAGTTATGTTAGAGGGGGAAACCTGTGTGAAATCTACCCATACTGCAACCCCAGCACTTTTATTGCATGTTTACAGTGTAGCATAAGGGTGTGTCCAAGCTGGGAATGGAAGCAACACTTCCAGCCTATTGCTCCTATAAACACAGTCACATAAACTCTCTGGTTTGCGCTTTATCACCCAAATAAAGACACACATGCACAATCTCACACAAGCGTAGAAATCAATACATGGCTCAAGGCAAGATGTGTGAGGCCTGACCCTGAAACTATAGAGCACAGCTAGAAATGTGGGAGAATCTGTGAAACATGCACACAATACTAAGCAGCCTATGAAGGAATAAGGATGCAGTATATCCCTCGTCTTTCTAATTACAAAACACACTTGGTCAGTGGGTATATAATTACAAAACGCATATCTTCCACCACAATCATGGCTGATTAGGATTTCATGCAAATGTCTTAGGATTTAAACAGACACAGAGATGTGATTGGTGAGCTCCAGAAGGTTTGGACATATTGGAAGTGTTCTCTAATGCAAATGACACCATTAGTAAATACCTCAGGAAAAATAAAAATAGGCTTTCTTGGTGCATTTTAAAATGCGTCTTTGTCATAGTGTCGCAAACTGAAATAACCTTAGACCGAAAATGTGCTGCTGTGCTACAAGAGGGCTCATCCCAACACAGCAGAAACTTGTGTTGATTGTGTGTTTTGTTTGGATTGACTGGCTGGGTGAGTTTTTTCACATAGCACCAACACCTGGGAGTGGCTTATTAACACTTAGCTTAAAGTGGCCGGACAATGTCAAACAATGACGAACGCCTGCCAGTGGTTGCCCATTTATAGACGAATTCCCAGGACAATAGATTGGCTCGCTGTCCCAAAGTGGTTCCATTCATTTGCGATTGCAGGCAAGAGGTTGTTGTCCTGGAGTGGGCAATCAAGAGACATGTGCATCTGCAGAGTGGAGGCACAAACACACACACACACACGAATGCCCAGACGCAGAAAACATACACAAGGTGCCTGCATCCAAAGTCCATACACGTAAATCAAGCAAGCACACAAAGCATGCACAGCAGTAGTTACACTGGCGCTGCAGCCAGAGTGGACTAGAATAGCATACAGGCTACATTCCTCTGCCCTCCCTCCTCTGCCTCTCTGAGGCCAGCACACAGCAGACTGGTGGGTCACATGGACACACAGTGATCACAGTGATCTTGGAGATGAGGTGTACATGCACATACCAGGGCAACACTGCTACACCTACACACAGGGCAAATAGATAAGTAGGTGCAGACAAGTTGGGGATGCTGAATTTCAACAGCAATGAAAGCATGCAGAGATACACAGAAAACAAAAATCTATCTATCTATCTATCTATCTATCTATCTATCTATCTATCTATCTATCTGTCTATCTATCTATATATATATCTTAAAATCAACAACTGCCCTTTAATTGTCCTAACTGCCATAAGAGCAGCACTTACAAACAAAGATAAACAAGATGTCTAAATTCTTGTTCAAAAAGAAACAGTGGGGAGGAGGGTATTTAAATTGGCTACTGTGTCACAGCCACTCCAAACAGCCCCTTTTTTTCTACGCCCATGCACAATTATATTAAGTAGGGCCAATAGGAACAAAGAAGAGGCAGGACCGAGGCTCCACCTCTCCCCGACTGCCTTCCTCTGAGCTTTTTAGATGTACATAATCCCTGAGTTGACCCAGAAAATAGGCAGTCGTTTCAAGATCTGATGCGGCAGTCTTTGTGCACACCGTCCCCGTTAGAGCATGAAGCGTAACCCTGTGGAATACATACTGTAATTCAGAGGAGATTTGCCTTTGCAGGGGGAAACTGTTTAAAAAGACGGAGCCGAGGCAAAGTCGCGCAACTTTGTGAAAACGTAGCGGTTACGGGTAAGTGATTCTTTATCGGATTTATTTGAAGGAGAATTTGGGAATTTTGGTCTGTGGTGGTCTCCGAGGCTGCTACTCCATTGTTTGCATTCGCTTGTTTCTAAACTCGAGATTGGAAAAATTATATTAATGTTTGACTACACTATCGGGAATAATGTAATACAAACATTTGCACAGATCGGAGTCCCCCGGAGAAAATCGAAGCCTTTGTTGAATTTTCCTGCCCTGTTAGAAATGTGGTGATTCAGCTGTTGGGGAGATGTTGCATGATGTCAGTGTTCTTTGTTGCAACCTTACGTGCGTAAAATGTAACAAGATTTTTTTTCTGCCTTGGTTGACATGCAACATGCAAGGGATTTAAAGAATGCTTTACGCGATGCATACGTTTTTCCTCCTTTGTCGATCCCCGTGCATTTATCATCGCGTCTAAAATGTATCCAAACAATGCATGTTAACCTGAGATGCCAACCTGGGCGTTCATTCATAGGCACAAAGAGGGGAGGTTTGGTAAAGACTAAATTACGGGTTTCAGTGCCAAAAGGCAAAACAACCATGCAGATATTTTTTAAGAGGATAGCTTGTTTAACTTGAGGCTGAATTGTGACGGTGGACCTGGGAATGTATGTTTCTTGTTATTCAATTAAGGTGAAGCATGTGGGCACTACGTTGAAATAAACCAATAGGTAGGCTAGGAAATAGCTCTGGACCATTTAAATGGTTAAACGTGTTAAATGCACAAGGAAACACCAACTGGTTGACGCTGTAATGTTATGTTTGCCCTGCTGCACTTTCCATGAAATGCTTCCAAACATCTTGTCACCCTTTGCATTGTCCTAACAGTGTCTCCTTTGCTCGCAGACAGGAGGCATGGCCGACCATCTGATGATGCCCATGAATCACAGCTCAGCAGGCGCCAGTCTCCACGGTTACAGGATGGGCATGAATGGCGGCCTGCAGGCAGGTCACCAGCAGCATGCCAACCAGCAGGGCATGCGGGCACTGCCCAATGGTCAGATGATGCACTACGGTGGAGCCCAGGCCAACATGGAGAGCGCCATGAGGCAGCGACAGGGCATGGTGGGCGGGCCCATGAATGGACAGCTTAACGGGGCCCAGATGGGTCATCACCAGATGACCTCTGGTAACATGATATATAACGGTCAACCACAGCAACAGCAACATCACCCTCAGCAGCAGCATCACATGCACCCACAGCAACAACAACACCAGCAGCAAGCCCAGCACCCACAGCAGCAGCAGCAGCAGCAACAGCAACAACAACAGCAGCAGCAGCAACAACAACAGCAACAGTTCATGAACGGAGGGTTAACATCACAACAGCTAATGGCCAGCATGCAGCTGCAGAAACTGAACACCCAGTACCATGGACATCCACTGGGGCCTATGGGTGGAAACCACATGGGGCCCACTGCACAGTACCGCATGAACCCAGCTCAGCTGGCTAACATGCAGCACATGGCTGGGCCGGCTCTGGCCTTGAACGGCATGGATGCGGACATGATTGACGAGGAGGTTCTGACCTCGCTGGTCATGGAGCTCGGTTTGGACCGGGTTCAGGAGCTGCCAGAACTTTTCCTGGGCCAGAATGAGTTTGATTTCATGTCAGACTTTGTGAACAAACAGCAGCCCAGTACTGTTAGCTGCTGAGAGGACCTTATTTACAGGGGAGCACAACTGGAGACAGAAGAGTGAGAATTGTCCGGGGTGGATGGAGAGAGCTCATCTCTTCACATTTTCTTTTGCGGACACCTCCATGTTCAGCTAAAGTTGTGGCGAAAGGTGCACAGAAGAGAACTCTGGATATCCACAGGGTCTCACGTGTGGCCAGAGGAACGCTGGCTTTGAGGCCAAGCACCACCTCTCTTGTTGCCTGGACATGAATGTAATACATTAATGATGAAATTCTTAAAAAGCCACTCTGAACAATGCTATGACACTGTGTAGCCTCCAACTCTGGACCCCATGAAAGCTAACCAGTTAAGAGGTGTATTTATTTGTTCCTATCTGAGAAAACTGATATAAAGAACAAACGCCACTTGTTTTTGGGAACCAAGTGGTATAGATGATTTTTTTCCCCCCACCGAGTAGGATGGGAGACTAAATGAAATTTCCCCACTCATGAATTATCTTTGTTCCCATTCTATCTGGTCCAGCATTAAATATAAGCTCAGATGGCAAGGTTGTCTGAAAAGACGGTGAGTCAGACTTGACAGAAGTACAATGTTATTTTATCTGAATGGGAGTCTCATCCAGATCTCAAAAATGGTTCACTTTTTCTGTGAAGTGCTGCCTTTTTAGACGTGATGTTCTCAAAATCCTACTGCTTGTACTGTATGAAGCTGTAAAACTCCAACATGTCCACACTGTTGTGTTCTATTGGAGATGTAGAACCGCCTTAATCGCGCAGATTCTTATTTATTGGTTGTTTATATTGTCCCCTCTTTTTTTGTGGTCAAGATTGGGGGGGATGGTCTTTGTGAAAGGGGTTGTTGAGGATCAATAAAGATGGCCTGGATAGAAATGTGGCCTGCTTTTCCATTCATTGCACAGTTCTTCCCCCAGGCAGTGGAGAGCTAGCTAAGTGCTTAAGTTAACCTGTGGGTGAAGGGAAACCTCAGTTTCTCTCAAGTCCGGGCTGGGAATATTTAAACGGATGCATAATTGATGCTTTTTGAAAAGGATATATGCCCTTCTCTTTTCTTTATCTTATCTGTTCCTTTATTTTGACATTTCCACTGCTATAAAGACAGAGTCACTGACAGGAACATGACTGACACATTGTGATAATTAAAAGCTTCCCTTCTGGTTAGCAAAAGAGCAGCTGGATGTCGGTGTACATCTTCTATGACATCCCAGGTAATGATAGCCAAATTAGATTTACTATTCAGCATTGTTTTTCTTGGTTGTAATCAGGCTAATGCCATGCTCTGACATTTAAGGTTGTTACAATATTTACGGTCATTTCTAAATATTCCTTCAAAGGTTGGGGGGGGGGGGGTCCACAAAGCAACATTTGAATAATTGGTTTCTCTCCAGCACCCAAACATTTGTTTCCCTTGCTGTGTGCTGTGAGTGTGTGGATGTGTGATTGGGGGAGGTGGAAATGACCAAAGAATGCTTACCTTGATGGGGGTTTAACAGACTTAAAGCTTGTAAGCCCTGACTCAAAGACAACGCTGCTCCCCCCTCAGCTCCCAGTCCAGTGGTGGGAGAACTGACCATTGGCTCAAAACAAATGTCTTATGCAAATTGAAAAAAAGTCCATGCTTTAAACACGGTTGGTTGAGTAAAAAAACTTATAACTCCTTTTTATAATTGCATTCATTATGAAATGAGGGTAAAGAGATTCTCTGTGGTGGCTGAGTTTACTGGATTGTTTTCTACCTCCAGGCTATAAAATGTTTGATTGTGGTCATGTTGGGAATAACATCATCACGTTGAGCTACTTATGTTGACAGGAAAGAGCTCTCTGCAATAAGAGGGAAGTGAGAGCACTTTAGGAAAAGGGAGTTGCTGATCGCCCAGATTTTGTCAATGTTTCGCTTTCAGCAACCTTCTGCCATTAGTGCTAAAGACTGACTTGTTTAAATGGCATAATGCAAAGTTAAATATCTTATCATATATATTTATATCAGGGCTTAATTCCTGTAAGACAGACTTGCTGGACGGTGTGTGTGTGTTTTCAAAGCCTGACACTTATCAAGAATGTCTCATAAGTAGGCCAACAGCCTTGGCACAGTGCTTAGTAACGGTTGCAGGTCCTTTGCTCAGTGCCAATCTGGTGGGATGATCTGGTGTGTGGCACATGGGACATGTTGGCTCAATGTCAGAACTCTGTCTCCTCATATATCTCATAATTGCACGCTGCACGGTGAGCTCCTTGTTTAGCCCCAATTAACTGCAGAGGTTTTTTTTTGATTCTTGGTTGTGACTCTGCTATAGGCAAAAAAAAACAGTCCTGTTTGCTCTCCCAATCCCTTGTTATGACTGCCGATGGCCCAACAGAGGCCAGTCTATAGATGCAGGGTGGGACACCCTGAGACGGTTTACAGTTACTTCTGTTTTTCTTGCTTTCTTGTTTCCAGCCCACCCACGGCAGCTGCTCAATACAATGCTGTGTCTTCCTGTGGCTGTTTTCTCAGTATAAGTCACAGAGCAAAAGCCACATTTTGATCGAGATGCAAAGTGAAAGAGACAAGATTAAAAGAAGGCTGAAAAGAAAAACGTGAGGATATGTCAGGTTTACAATTATAAATGAGCTGGAGGGATTTTTGATCTTCTTCTTCTTGGGGATTTCTTCGCTGGTTTTTCCCCGCAACAGTTTTTACAATTCCATTTAAAACCCTTACCCTAACCCTTAGATTGGATTCCTCTATTTTTACTGCATAATTGTGTGCACATTGTATGTGTGTGGATGCATTCAGTATTGTCAAGTTGGTTTCTTTGCAGGCTTTAGTCCAGCTGGTGCCAAGCCAGGGCTCATGGTAATCTCAGGCCCTAGTGCCAGTGATGGATAGGTGGTCATTTGCTGCTGTCACGCATGGCCACGTCCTCACATGCACGCTAGCACACAAACAGACACATGGAGTATCCGCACACAGCCTGATCAAACAGACTAACAGGGATACCTCAATATCAGTGTGAAGCCACTGGAGGATAAAGGTTTTTACGTCTCATCTGTGGTCATTGTGTTCCTTACGTGCACAGTGTGTTGGTAGAAAATGATGGTGTGAATGAGAAAACCTCTGAGTGAAGGGAAATCTACAAAATGTTACTTTACTAAAACGACATCGGTTATTTTTGAAATATGACATAAGTGAGCAAACCTTTCATTGCAGAACTGATTCATTTTGAGGTGAATAAGAATGTGAATAACTGTAACTGTCAAGCACTGAGTGAAACACACAGTGAAAGTGAGACACATGGTTAAAAAAACCTGCGTTTCCCAGACGAGCAGATGAGTTATTTATTGACAACAAAGGGTATGTTTCACTCTCTGTGTGTGAATGTTGTGCGCAGAGGGCACATGTTTGAACTTGTCTGCTTCAACAAGAGACTTCGGAGGTTTTTTAGTGCATTTTATGTGTTAACCTTGTGTGTGTTTGTAGAATCGTGTGTGAGAGTTTGTGCTGGCAGGGGGTGAATAAACAGCAGAATCCCCTCAGGGGCAGGGTTCATTCAGTGGACATGTTGCTCAGGCCGAACTTCCTGATTTTCTGGCTGCTCACTCACCTTGTAGCTGCACTCGACATGTGGCCGTATAGCAGATTCTTCTCTTTCCACTCTTCTTCTCTTTCTTTTTTTTTGTTTTTACAAACCTTAAAAAGCATTACACACATTACAGGGATTTTATTACAGCAAGGTTTTCTCTGGAAAACATCAGTTGCTGCACAGTTGGATTCTGCTGCTGGCCTTTTTAGTCAAACTCAGCGTCTTCTAAAGCAACAAAACTCTTCCTTTTCCCCACACGAGGGGAAAAGCAATATAATCACATCACGCTTTATCTCCGGGAGCCACATAGCTGAGCTGTGTCTCAGTGATTTTTTTGGGTTTTCCATATGAACCCAGCGGAGGCTTTTAAATGCAGCCTCCAGAGCTAAGTGGCTGATTTTGGCATGTTGGGGCAGGTGACACAGAGGTTGCCTAGTGACTAACGACTCCACCTCCGCCTCCTCGTCCTCCCTCCTATGACCCCTCCTCTTCCCCAAAATCTGAGGTTGAATGGTTTGCCAGTTCTTTGAAGTAGAAGGAGGGGGTGTAAATAATTTATTTTCCTGCACACAGCTGACACGTCCCCGTCGAGCCGGCTCAAACACACGGAGGTGTCCCAGCAATGTCTAAAGGTGGTAAATATTTAAGGGCTGTGTGATTTACACACTAGAGCCAAACCGAGCAGTGCAGCAGCTTTCGCAATGGGGGCAGAAAGTTAACCTCGTGTCAGCACAAATCCTGCAGGGGTGAACCACTGACAACCCTTGTCAAAATCACGTTTTATATATTTTTTCTAAATTTTAAAGTCCTTCAACCATCTGGGATTATCAAATGGGAAAGATTGAAATCACACTAAGAAGTATCCATGAAAAGTACAGCATATACAATCAAAAAGAAGTCCCTGCACGGATTCCCCTTGTGAAGACGAACATGTCGAATGTTTGTTGACAGGTGTCAGCAAGGTGTTAAATCTGTCAAGGTGTTCCTGTTTTAACACCTTTACTGTTCCAAAGAATAGAGAGGTGAATCTGACAGTTTCTACAAAACATTATAAGCTTCACTAAGGCAATGCTTTCCCAGAAGTGAATATTGTTGTCTTCACCCTCCTGTTCTAGGATAGGATAGGATAGTACTTTATTGATCCCCAGAGGGGAAATTTGGGCGTTACAGCAGCACAGACAAGAAAGCTCAAATACACATTAAACAGAATAGATAAGATAAATAAAAATAAAAACAGGGGGGTATATACAGTACAAAATGAATGATGAAGTTAACTGGGGGGAATTGAGAATTGAAACAGTATTTGAAGAGAATGACAAGTTAAAGTGACAAGTGATGATTAAAGTGACTTGGTATGATAAATGAATAGCAGCAAGTAATGTAAACAGCAGAGAGGAGAGGCAGTGTTGTACCACAGTAGTGCAGAGTGCAGTTATATAATATAATGTATAATGTTCTGGCTGTTTTATTAGACTCAGCCTCGTCTAACATGCGCAAGGAAGTGAATTGTGCTTGCCGGGGGGGGGGGTAGGTTACAGGTTGGTAGGTTAGAGTCGAGGGAAATAGTATTACCACAAGCTATGTTCTGTACACAGTGTCTGTGTGAGCAGGGCTTTAAGCCTGCGTGCTAATCTGGTGACAGTGGCAAGCACATTGCTACAAAGGCAGGGTAACAGGCTATAGGCTGGGGGTGGAATTAATACGAGAGAGCGGTTCTTGTCAGGCTTTCCAAGTGTTATCCTGCTGGAGAATTCTACTGACACTATTATCAATGTGTCAATGCCAACAAAATAATCATGTGCATACCTTGCATTTGATTATTTGTATTTTGTAGACGCAGATCTTTCCTTCTTTATAGTTTAGTGTATTTATGCGGGATCTGTGCCCTTTTTTTCATAGAGAGTTAATACCCACCATCATGCGTGTTATTAACATTTTCATTGCAGGAAAATCCTGACATTAGCCCGTCCACACCATCTGTACACGCAGGCATGACAGGATGAGTGTGTTGGGGCGAGCGCTGTCATTGCACAGTTCTTCGTTCTTAGCAGATATTATCTCCCAATCACAAGTCACCAGAGACACGCAAGCGTAGCAGGTCTACGGCCTCATTTATGGAAGCTGATTAGGTTAAATTCAGTGGGAAGTTTGTCACTTGACATTGATGTCAGTGTCATGGCTAAGAAGGCTAATTTAAAAATACAAATAATATAGTTGGATCTTCTTCTGTTAGGTGTCCTGTTTCCTCTCAAAAGTGACCACATTTTTTGTTTATCCAATCCCTCATTGTACAGTTTTATAAAACCTCTA